AAACACCTCTTCAGTACTGCTTCCCCTCTGGACTGGTGGAGAATTGTAACTGTACCGTGTGTGCAGAGTACTTTTTCATTCGCTGTGCTCATTGTGAGAAGTTGTATTGTTTTTGTGGAAGAATACCATATGTGCTCCTAAACCTTAAAGGCTGAGCCCGCATTCAAATTTGATGAGTTATGCGGCTCAAATACTTATAACAAGGTAGCAAGTAACCCCTTAGTGAAGAAAAATCAGAAAGAAATCATAGGAAAGGCTCTATATAGAACCCCTTGCTTAACTGAGGTTGTACGTGCTCAAGGCGAAGAGAAGGTGCGGTCGCACGAGTTCTCACTTGTTGATATCAGCTGTTTTCCCTTATCACCTCACTCTCACCACTCGACGTGGAGAGAAGCAGCAGCGAAACAACCGCACCATCAGATAACCATTAGGAATGAGTGGAGGGCGGTGCCAATGATTGTAGGTTGGGCCAATGAGAAGAACGACGGCATCGTGGGCCTCCTCACTCGTTTTTGCGCCGCGAAAGTGGTGTAGTTGTTGCCTCTGCGGACCTGACTACCTGCTCACGAAGGGAGAGGAAAATCTCAACTGAACGCGGACGCTGCCTTTAAGATCCTCATTCATTGATGCAATCTCTGGAAACGGTTAGCCTTATGATAAAAGTTTTCAAAAGAAGTCACAAAAAGAGAATCGCCCGCCTTCCGTTGGCAAATAATCGAAAAACTAGGCGAAACGGCTGAACAGAAGTTTTTTGGTGGCTCATATCAAGTGTTTTAAACAAAAGCAAAAATTTTCAGAGTCAAGGATTCCAACATGCGACCTCGTGTTTCTGAAGCAGTGCGCATATCCACTAGGCCATCGGCCGCTTGCGTTATCCTTCTCAAGTTGTGCAAACTGAGCCAAGATTAAAGGGTCCGTAACTCCCTTCAGAGAATCGTTCCGCAAATTTGGAGAACAGATTTGGATTCAGCGGCTCAAGACACGTCCATACATATACATCTCATTACGAATGGCCGGATCGACCTGTTGGGGTTCCCTTGTAAGCAGAATAACAAAGGAACCACAAACAAATTAAACTTGAAAAGAGAGAAACAGTAGAAGAAGAATCACTTACTTGACTAAATACATCACCAGGCGTCACCCAATGGCCATCTCTTTCGTCATCATCAATGATCTTCTTCACTTTCTCGACCCAAATGTAGTGCAGCTTCCGGTAAATAAACCATCTCACTTCATCAACTTCTCGCATTGATCCATCCTCATGAGGTACCAGCTTAAAGAAGTGTAACTATAGTTATAGTTTCTTTGTGACGAGAGAAAATAAACAATTCATAATTAGTGCAAAAATAGGACCATAAAGAGGTAAAAGGCATGTGTTTTCAACTCCTTATTA